AAAATCATTAATAATAGAATAGTAAGGAAAAACTGGGCATGCATGCGGAATCATAATGGTTTCTTGCATTCACATGCTGGAATCTTAAAAACAGCCAAGAGTGATAGTTTTTGGATAAATCCAAAGTAATGGTTTAAGATATGATTCTAAGGATTGGATGCATTAAAGTACAGAACGAGTGGAAAGCACTTATTCTAGCTGAATTTAACTGGCACAAAAAGATTTCTACAGAGGCATTCAGTCTGAGTCGCAAAGGAGTTCATCTGTTCTCTCACCTCAAAACAAGATAACCAGCAATAACAGCATTTGTTCAGGCTGCATTTGCTATTCTAAGAAAATAGTTGGAGAGTCAATATGGTGTAGAGCAGTGGTCCCTAACCTTTGCAGCTTAGCAATTTGGCTCTGGGGGGGAAGGGGAATTGGGCCTCATGAGTGGTGGGCCAATACTCACATGCTCTCAAGTCAACTCACTCAAGTGATGGGCTGGCAAGCACATGGCGTCCACATGCAGTTCGAGTGCAAGTTGAGCTGTGTGCATCTGCACGCCAGCCTTCTTGTCACATGACCCAGTTCCAAATAGGCTACGGCCTGTAGTAGGCCACAGCATGGGGCTTGGGGAACCCTGGTGAAGAGGTAGTCCTCAATTCATAATCACAATTGGAACTGGAACTTCGGTCAATAAGCCATGTATTCATGAAGTGAGTTGTGCCTGATTTTATGACCTTTTTGCCATAATATTTGCCATGGCTGTTAAGCAAATCACACGGTTGTTAAGTGAAACCAGCTTCCTCATTGATCTTACTTGTCAGAAGTCAGCTGGGATGGTCGCAAATGGTGATCATGTGACCCTGGGTCTCTGCTACTGTTGTAAATATATGCCAATTGCCAAGTGCCCAAATGATGATCCCGTAACCATGGGGATCCAGTCATAAATGCAAATGGTCAAAAGAAACTTTTTCCAGTGCTGTTGTAACTTTGAATGGTTGCTAAATGAATGGTCGTAAATGGAAGAATATCTGTAATGTACAGTATTGGATTAGGATCAGGAAGCTCATTTTCAAATCACTTTCAGTAATAGAAGAAGATTGTATAGATTGCATCGGAGAAATATGGTTGTGGTGCCAGATTTTTCTGCTTTGGTTTTTGCTTGTTTGTTTGTTTGTTCTTGCTTTTATTGTATGAATAGTTGTTTATTCTTGTTTGTAAGCTACCCAAAGTTTGATTTAGATTGGTTGGCTAAACAAATATTTTAGATAAATAAAGACAGCTCACTAGACTGATTTATTGATTTTGGACTAGTCACTCTCTCAGCCTGAATTATCTTACAGGGTTATTGCTGTGGGGAAGAAATGAAGGATTTATCTGATTTTCCACTGACATTCTTAACCTGTTTCCTATTTATTAAAAGCCCCTAAGAAAATTCAACAGCAAACATAGTCAATGTGACCTTCTGGAGTATTCAGTGGAACCAACGCTTCTATTCATATCTTGAATAGAATTAGCCAAAGAATAGCTAAGGGCTACTCTTAAATTAACCAAATACATGAAGATTGAAACAGCCAGGATTATGGAGCTCATCAACCTTTGCCATACCTCCAATGGGCAAACTTACCAACAAATTAAAGGGACACCTATAGAACCACCTCTTTCAGGACTTATAGCGGAGGTCGTTATGCAAAATCTAGAAGCCATACTGCTTCCACAAATACAACCCAAAATATGGATCAGATATGTAGATGACACCTTCACCATAATAGAAAAGACCAATTAGAGAGCACCCACAGAACTATTAACAACATCTTCAAATGAATCCAGTTTACCAAAGAAGAAAACAACGACAACAACACAACAACAACACATTACCCTTTCTGGACATTCTGATCAGCAGAGACCACAATGGCAAATTAGAAACACAAATATACAGGAAAACTATCCACACCAACCAAGTGCTCCACTTCCAGAGCAACAACCCAACTTTCCACAAGAAGCTGCATAAAAACTTTACTTAGATGAGCACAAATTCACTGCAGCAACCCTGAACAACAGAAAAAGGAAACAGAATATCTATACAACAAATTCCAACAAAATGAATATCCATGCAACTTTATCAAAAACTGACTGACCACTCAACCCAATACAACCCAACCAACACAAGATCCAAAAAGAATAACACTACCATACATCAAGAATTCTCAGAAACCACCCACAGACTACTACAAGCACATGGAATCAGCTTAGCACACAAGTCAATTAAGGCGAAGGTAAACCAATCATCCTAAATCAACCAAACACCCAACAGCCCCAGAAGAAAAAAAAAAAAACAGGAATCAACTACAACATACAATGCAATGACTGCAACAGCCACTACATAGGATAAATAGGCAGAAGATTGGCAGTCTGCGGGCCTGGTGGCTCAGCAGACTGATAGCATTGAGATTAACACCAGCTGTCTGCAATTACTGTAAATTCGAATCTCACCAGGCTCAAGGTTGACTCAGCCTTCCATCCTTTCTAAGGTAGGTGAAATGAGGACCCAGTTTGTGGGGGCAATAAGCTGACTTTGTATAAATATACAAAAGTATGAAGGCTATTGCTTAACACATTGTAAGCCGCCCTGAGTCTCCGGAGAAGGGCGGCATATAAATCAAATTTTAAAAAAAGAAAAGAAAGACATGGTGAAAACTCTTTAATTTCACAACATATGGACAGACTTAACTATAGTTTCAGTTGAGAAACTGTAACCATCCTAGACCAAGTCAAGTCCAAAACTACTAGGGAATTTCTAGAAGCCCGGCATTCTGACAAAATAGCCATTAATAGACACATATAAACAATGACTATATACTATGCAAAAGAGACAATCAACAAGCCAAAAAGGAACAAAAAAACCAAAACACTTCACCACTAGTAATCAGCATTCAGAGGAGCATAAATTAACTCCAAGATTAATATCAGACCAACAATCAAATAAAGAAAACCCCAATCAAGGAACTGCCAAACAAGCCAACAGTAAACAACCCACCCAAACAACTAACATAATCCTTACAGGGCCAGCCACTAAAATATAAACAGAGCAAATCCTACTCCTTACTAGTACTAATGATGTTAGCTAGTTTGGATAATGAAACATCTGCAAGAAAACAACGAAGCTCATAGAGCACTAAAAACCCTTCATTTCAACCCCAAGCTACAAATATTCTCCTTTATTTTTCAATACACTAGCATTGGTCCTGCTATCTCTCATTGGTCTTCTATTGGGCCTTGTTAACTCAAGTTCAATTTCTTATCCAGGATTGTTCCTAAGAACCACTGCTAACAATCCTAAAACCTGGTGCGAACCACTTAATCCCCCAAAGTCATATGTCACTGAAAGAACACGTGCTCTGCATGTAAAAGGCCCTTGGTCTCAATCTTCACATTGCATACTATATTTCAAAATGTATTCAAAGAGAGTGGAAATTCAGCATAGGTCAAAGGTTGGGTCTTAAATGAAGTTAATTCAGTGAGCCTTACTATGAACGACTTTGTTGTTAGAAGAATGCTCAGATAAGAGGTGGGGCATCTTTTGTTTTTTGATTGTTGCTGAACTGCAGCTCTCAACATCCAATACGATGACAACATTGGCCAGAATTGCTGGGAGTTGTAGTTCAACATCTGGAACATCTTGTTTACATCAAGCAAGACAGCCTTTCCTGTCTGCTGCCAAACAAAAGAATGTCTACCCCTGAGATAGCACTAGCTACCCTATTATCTTCTCAACACACTGGCTTCAAAGACTGCAGACTACAAAGCTAGAAATGTCCTCTGTTGAGGGTCACACTGATGAACTTCAAAAAAATGTATCAAAACATATTTAAAACAAACATTTTGAAGAGATAAATTGAATGGTATCTCAAGAGAAAGTACACTTGAAAATGAAGTCTAAAAGCATTTTGGGGGTTAATTTTTAAAACATCACAGAATAATGAGGAAGCAACTCAGAACACAAAATGTTCCAGATCCGAAACAGAGACGGCTATTATTCGATCTAAAACTAGAGCTTCTCCGATTATAAGATTTTATCCTCAAAACTTCAGTTTTTAAAAAAGAAAATGTTTTCATAAGTGCAAATATAGGGAAATATTAGAAGTTAACTTAGAATCAGACATCCATGTATAGTTTTTAAAGGGGAAAGGTGGACAATTAACAGCTTGTGGACCACACAGGGACCCCAAACATTTATTTATCCATTTCATATGGATCCATCTCAACTACTGGTAGTGAATAGAATTCCAACAAAATAAAAACAATAACAAACATTCAAGTTAAAAATGCAGGCAGCCGAGAAACAAACAAAATTAAGAAGCAAGTACTTAATACCGAAACCCTCCACAACATTATCACATTGCAGAGGTGGTATTCAGCGGGTTCTGACCAGTTCTGGAGAACCAGTAGCGGAAATTTTGAGTAGTTCGGAGAACCAGCAAATACCACCTCTGACTGGCCCCGCCCTCATCCATTCTCTGCCTCCCGAGACCCAGCTGATAGGGAGGAAATGGGGATTTTGCAATAACCTTCCCCTGGAGTGGGATGGGAATGGGGATTTTACAGTATCCTTCCCCTACCACACCTACCAAGCCATGCCTCGCCCACCAAGCTACGCCCACAGAACCGGTAGTAAAAAAAATTGAATCCCACCACTGACATTGCATCATTAAAATTCAGCAAACCCCCTCCTCCTCCACAAATGTGGACTCCTACAGTCTTCAGCAAGAGGAATTAGAGGGAACAGTGGTGGTTTATCATAATACCCCTCCCCCTTCCTTCAAATCATGTCCATACTTAGAAAGAGTCCTAAGGAATCTGAGGTCCTCCTGATCAAACTTTCCTCCATTTCTTTTGCCATCATTAATCTCTTGAAAAAAGAAAACCCTAAAAGGGCTTCTTCCCCTGTTGATCTCAATGGAGGGGAGTGAGAGATATTTCCAAAATCCCATTATTTTTGGGTTTCTGTGACTTACCAGTTGTGTTGGTCAGCTCGAAGGTGACTGTCTTATCAGGGATGCCACAAACATTTCTGACAGATACCTGGCATGTATAACTGGCATAGTCGTGGGGTCGTAGATTTTTCAGCTTCAGAACTTTTGTTTCTCCCTAGAGTGTTTGAAAAGAAACAGATGAGAGAAGTCAAGTGAACTATTTGTGTCCACTAGCCTGTGAAGTGAACTGTGAATCTCACATACAGTTCCAGTGCTGCCAAATTCCTTTCAAGTAATTGTATCAGGTTTACTTGCCTCAGTTTACTGATACCATTTGGGGTGGGGGTGGGGGGTGGGGAGAGAATGGAATAAAATGTAGTTTAGTGCAAGAGTAAGAAAGAGGCAGGGTCTGTAGGCACCAACAGAGTCAGAATATCCTTCTTGGTGTCTATCCTGCCCCATTTAATAGCAATAGCCCTTATACTTATATACCGTCCGATAGTTCTTTACAGAATTCTCTGGATGATTTACAGAGTCAGCATATTTGCCCCCAACCCTCATTTTACCAACCTCGGAAGGATGGAAGACTGAGTCAACTTTGAGCCCTGTCAGGATCGAACTCCTGGCTATGGGCAGAATTAGCTGTAATACTGCATTCTAACTACTGTGCCACCACAGTTCCTTAACTTTTAAAAAAATGAACATTACCAGCATGCAAAGCACAGCAGTGGCATCCAATATCACCTTTATTTACAACAATGTTTCTCGGCCTCCAACAGATATTCTTAGAAAATAAATATGAGGAATGGCTTTATTAGGAAGTTGGAGAAAAAAAGAGGCAATGCTAAAGGGGACTGCTAGAGGACAGCCCCATAAAAACTTATTTTTTGATCAATGTAACCAATTTGTAATTGGCCGTGCCCCCATTGCAATCACTTTGTGAATATGTAAGTTGCCTCTAGCATGGATTGCTGCCTATGAGATGGTCTCAGGATTCTCAGCATGTGCAACTAATCCTGCTATAATGGAAGCAAGAATAATAGGAATTAAGCATTAAGCATTGCTAAGGCTTCTAGCAACAGGAATGAAGCGTTGCCTGACACATCTCTCTAACCAGTCGGCTCCTTTTCAGCTTAGTTACAATTCAGTATCTGAGAAAAGTGCTGGTGGTATAAGTTTTGGGGCAACAAAATCTTGTTTCGAGGTACTTTTGCAATACAGTAATACAAGGGTAACTATTTGAATGAACAGTGAAGGTCACTATCCTTGAAAACTCTAGGTCATGATGGAGGTGAAAAACAAATCACTATGTTGTTGGCTAGAATTAGTCCATTGTTCTCATTATAGGGGAATCATACTAATCTATGGGAGCAAAATATCGGAAGGTAGTATTACTGGGAGTAGGAATGAATATGATCATTGATTGCATTTTCATCCTCTGGATCTATGGAAATGAATATCAAAGTCATGATGGAATTGGATGACATATTCATTTCCATAGATCCAATAACTTCCACCCCATCATCAACCTCAGATTAGAGCTCTAGGGAATATGTCCACTTCCTTGATGACATCATAAAACAGCACATATATAAAGACATTACAGGTAATCCTACAACAACAACCCCCCCAAAGAAACTTATGACCTATTGTTTGAAGTTATGACAGCTGCCCCTCTTCAGTCACATGATTCCATTTTGGGGACCTTGGCAACCGGCTTACCTTGACAACAGTGTCCCACAGTATTGTGGCCACAATTTGTGATTTTTTTTTTCTGGTTTCTGGCATCTATTTCTATTTTTTTAGCAAAAAACACACTTTGAAGAAAACTGATTTGCTTGACTACCACTATCAAAAATTGGATCTGGTTGTATGATGCCTCAACTTACAACCACAATGAATTACAACTGTAATTGCAGGCTCAATTACAGTCGTAAGTCGAGGACTATCTATATATAGGAAACTTGCAGATCACCATGCACACCAAGTCTATCATTTATAGCCAAGCTCTACACTACAACTACATTTGTTTTGGCTCACTTGATAGGGCTGCTCAATTGATGGAATTAAACCATTTAGGGGACTGCATTACCACCCACAAAGATCAATAGACAAGTCAATAGAGTCAGATCAATATCCAGGGAGGACCTACTATAAAACTAGCTATAGAAACATAACAAGTGGGTTGTCACCTACAACCCATAACTCAAATTACTCAAACACATGATTTATAAACTACAACCAAACTGGACAATGATACTGTGCTTTCCTAGGCACCAGGTGAGAGGTCCATACTTTCATACAGACAACTACTCAATCTGAAGTGAATTCTCACAAGCAACAATGATGCTTCTGTAGGAACCAGGCCCTGCCACCAACCCATATATCTACTTTTCCCCCACACCAACAGTACGATTTTAAGTCCCAACAAGTGCACACACCAGATTAAAGGCATCTTCACATGCTCTTCCTCTAATGTGATATATGCCATAACCTGTCAGCAATGTCCCTCTGGATTCCATGGACAAACTTTACACAAAACAAATTAATGAACACAAGTTTGACATCGAAACTCAAAACAAGGACAAAGTAATAACAGCATTTCAACCTGCCAGGACACACTCTATGGCAGAGCTCAAATGTCTATTTTGGAAAAATTGGACTTCCACAACACCCTTGAGCGAGAGATTGCAGACTTCATATATATTAAAAGGTTTCAGGCAATCTGAGAAGGTCTTGACTAACACAATGGCTCTTGAACACATCATAATTGTTAATTTATAATATCTGTCGCACATAAATCTACATTTGCAGAGGCAACCTGTCTTGCCGCCCCTTTCCCTCCTCCCTTACTCCAGTTGAAATCCTATATTTTTTAGCCACTCTATAACATTTGATGAAGTTTATGAAAACTTATACCTTTTAATAAAATGTGTTAGAAAAACTGATACCAGACTCCTGATTCTTTCCCATTATCCTTAGGCTTCCTAAAAACAATATTTTGTTGTAATAACTTCCTGGCTTGAGAAATCAAATTGATGGGCCAATAGCAATCATCATGTTTTCAAAGAAAACTCTTATATTTTTGTTCTGGTCCCAAACATTTTTGTCTTTTGGTGGTGGTGGTGGGGTGGTGGTGGTATGCTTTCAAATTGATGATAAAACCAAAACTGCCCTGCTAATTCCTTTTAGAGAAATATGCATTCCAAACTTTGAGGTCTTCCTTGAAATCAAAAGAATAAAAGTTAATTTTTAAGATCCATTGACATAATTTCTGTGAGAACTACTGTAAATCAAGAGACTGATGTTCTCAGGCCAGATTTGGAAGTTATGCAAAGCATTATGTAATTTATGTAAATCCTGAACAATTGCTCAGCTTCCGGGCCACCAAGTCCCATTAAGGTAAAGGTTCCTCTTGCACATATGTGCTAGTCGTTCCCGACTCTAGGGAGTGGTGCTCATCTCCATTTCAAAGCTGAAGAGCCAGCGCTGTCCATAGACATCTTCGTGGTCATGTGGCCGGCATGACTAAATGCCAAAGGCACACATTTTTTCTAATTGCATTATTTTACAAACTGGGTCCTCATTTTACCTACCTTGAAAGGATGGAAGGCTGAGTCAACCTTGAGGCTGGTGAGATTTGAACTTGCAGTAATTGCAGGCAGCTGGTGTTACTTAACAGTACTTTAGTCTGCTGCACCACCAAGGCTTTTTTTATGTGCTTTCGAACTGCTAGGTTGGCAGAAGCTGGGACAAGTAACAGGAGCTCACCCTGTTACGCGGCACTAGGGATTCAAACTGCCAACCTTTCGATCGACAAGCTCAGTGCCTTAGCCACTGAGCCACCGCGTCCCTTCCAAGTCCCATGCAAAGGGTTTATTAAATTTCAGGAAGGGCAGGAAGAAAGAGGTATGGATCTGAACCATCATGTATATAAAAGGTACTTACACCCTCACATTGCCATTGGGCATTAAACTGTTCTGTTGGGTTTTATTCTTACTTGCAGTAAAGATTCTTACCAGTATTTAGCTAAAGTGTTTCTGAGAGACTTTTGCCAAATCCAAGTCTAGGAAATTAATTCAACTGTATAAAGGTCTGTGATTTACTGTTAGGTCCTGGTCAGGAGAGTCTGACATTTTCTCCCCCCCCTCCAATCCCCCAAAATGTATTCTGTTTTGCCTTGAGCTTTTGTGAAATCCCTTTTGATTTGTAACATAGTTCACTAACACAGTCTATTTTCTGCCTTCTGATTTTGCCAGAATACCCTTATATTAAACCAGCGCAGCCCTCCCTTAGTAATCTGAACGTTACCATCTTATACACCTTTCCCTTTTGATTTCCAAATTATTAATACATGCCTCTTCCTTGAAAAAAATGTGACCCAAAATGAAGTACAGTTTTTTCCCCTCTTCTCTCCCCCCCCCTTTTTTTTGGCCGATTGATAAAAACTTTTTGAAGCCGTAATTCTTGGTACAAGGGTGAAGTAGAACTTGATTCTCTCATTCATCTATTCTATTTATCTCATTCATCTCAGATGAAGCTATTTGTGGACAGATTGGTTGCAGAAAGCTGCAAGGCCAGGGGAAAAAAAAACCCAGCTGAACTCACTTGTTTACCAAAAAAAAAAAAAAAAAGCAAGAAGAGGCCCCAAAATTAATCTTAGAGCGAATATACAGTATAGAAAACAGAATTTGATGATTTAAGATAGAATTTCTCTTGGAGAACTTGGTGTTTATAATTTTCTAATTTTTGACAGTAAATATGTTTATCTAACCTTCTTGTGTCTAAGAATAAAGAGGAAGAGATTTTCAGGGAAGAAATAGCAGACTGAAGACAGCTCTGCGAAAAGCAGAACCAATGACTGTGGTGGAATGAAGAGCCAGCTACTAGATCAACTCTTTGATAATATCTCTCTGTACAAGAAGAGCACTTAAGATTGGCCATAAGTGCCACAGACAGTTGCTCCTCACACAGAAATTGCAAGTTAGCAATCTCTGATAGGTTCCCCTGTTGAGGGAATAGCCATCTTACTCAAGCTAGGGACCTTTGAAAAGATACTTTTGCATGTTTCATTTTCTAATCATTTTTGGAAACTGTTTGATAACTATTTTTCAGCTATTAGGAACCTTTGGATTCACAAGTTTTATAATATTGGGTGAGTTTCCTTCAATCCTT